ATATATATATATATATGTATAAAACAATAAAAATAAAAAAATAATATATTATTAATGACTTTGACATTTGATAAAAACTAAAGCAACTCCAAATTTCAAAGCATTTTACACACCTTGTTACCACTCCCCAATTAAAGGTCTTGGAGAATATTGCAGTCTGCTTCCAAAAACAAATCATCATCAATTACACTCCACACCGTCGGCGGCCATCGCAGTCATTAAAAAAAGCTTTTTATATAACAATTTTTTTTTACTGGTTTTCAAATGTATTGGAAATTGATTTCGTTTCACTGTTTAGCCATCTTTTAAATGGTTGTAATTTACGTCATGTCAAACCAATTTTCTCAAATGGTCATATCTCTTAATAATTTTATAAAGAAACAATCTTTGAATCATAGGAGAATTTTATTTAATAAAAAAATCTACTTTTTAATACTTATAAATTCCTCTAAATGATTTTGTATACTAGGTCTACCTAGACTATTTAGCGTTTTAATTTCGTTGTAAATAATTATTTTTTATTTTACATTATATCATGAGAGACATAATTATTACGACCACTTAATTATTTTACATCACACCATTTAACAACTATCAAACAGTAAGCATGTTTATAAAAACAATTTATTGACTTATTCCGATATGACACCGATAAACATGTTTGGATAAATAACTTATACCGATATCAAACCGGTAATAAAAAGTTTTTGAAGAAGTTAAACTCTTCTAACTTATAATAAGTTGATAAGGACATTTGTACATAGTATAAGCTGAACATAACATATTCATTAATGTTTAACATTAAGGATTGAGAATTAAACATGGTTAAACACAACCCACAAAGATTTGGATTCTATGGATCCTTGAGAAAGGGTTTTCCCTTCTTCTTCAACACATGAACATGAAGCAAGTTGTTCTTGACACGATTGAATTCACACTTATCTCCAATCTCTATCTTGTTATCTTTTCTGAAATCAAACCATCCTTTTGTCAAATATGGAACCTTTTCACCACCATACATGCTTACCTTCACTTCCCACATCTTTCCCTCCTCGTTCTTCAGCCGTACGCTCCGGTAGCCATTGATTCCGAGACCTTTTACGAAGCTCTTGTTCATTGCCTGCCATTGAAGTCCATACACCAAACCTTCAAACATTAATTTGGTTGATTTCTCCAAGAAAACACACACACACTTATTACTCATCAAATGATAATTACCAGTTTGTGAATGCAGGTTTTGGAGACAACCCTCCTAAAGGATTGCTGAACGCCTTCCTTGGTATCATCGTCACTTGTTTCTTCAACTTTAACGATGTGTTTCTTCAAGATTTTGTGATTCTTACCACCACCTGCAACAGCAACATGTGAAAGACTGTTAATGGCGGACAGTGGGCGGAAAAGCGGAACCCTAGAATGGATTGGACGATGGAGATTGCCTGAAGAAGTGGTTGGGTTTTTGAGACAGCCATTGGGTGCATAGATATAGACTTGAAAGATTGAAGAAGACTGAAGCCAAAAAACAAGAAAATCCCCCATTCGAAGACGATTGTCGTTGATGAACTTGAGCCATCCATCCATGAAGTAATACCTATCTTCGATCTTCAAGTATCTTATACTCCATTTCACAGTAGATTTGGTTTTGAGAATTAGGGTTTGGTTCTTGTTCTTCAGATACTTTTTTGCAAAAGAAGGTGGCAATGGCTGCAGAATAAGAGTAGATAATAAACAACAAAAATGATGTTGCAAATAAGGAGATGTATATATATACATATACATATATATATATATATAGAGAGAGAGAGAGAGAGAGAGAGAGATGAACAAACAAGATAATCCACATCATCCCTGAGTAATATCTTGAAGAAAGAAACTCCATTGTTCAGTTGCATTTTTGTATCACTGTCATGTGATTTCAGCAGCTTCCTGGCAACTTATATACAACAATGTCACTTCCAACTTGGCTGAAGATTATAGCATCTCCAATGGGCTATAGAACCTATTTTTTTGTATTTTCTATTATCAATTTTTTTATTAACCTGGATATCCAACCCGCTATGCTAGCCGACTAATCTTTGGGCGACCATCTGCTTTGCAGATAACCTGAAGTCACCGTATTTGAACCTACGTGGCCACAAAGTGATTTTTATTTCTTCTTGGATTTGAACATAGGACTTCCTGACAGTTTTGACCTTTGAAGTCAAGCTGAAACCAATTGAGCACCACCTTTGTGGTTTTCTATTATCATTTTGTATTAACTTCGAGATAATAATTAAGACGTAAAAAAAGTCAAATTGTTTTAACAAAATATTTTATAAGAATTAACTTTATCAAACTAGATAATTGTATGTCTTAGGGGCTGTTAGGTAGCAGCTTAACAAGCTGTATAGGATGTATGGCTTATTTGGTAAGTCATACAAGGTTGTTTGGTTGTGGCTTAATGAAACAAATGATGGCTTATTCGGTCAGCTGGTAAAAGGGTGTGGTTTGCATTCAGCCCTCATTTTTTATTTCTTGTCCTTATGATTCACGCTGCCTCCCATGCGTGCCTCCTTGAAGAAGATGCTGGTTTTGTAGCTACTTGCTCCTCCTTTCCATCTCTCGATCTCTCTATCCCTCGTCCTCGATCTCTCTCGAGCTTTCTCTCCATCTCTCAGATTTCGAACAGGGTTTGCTCCAAACTCTCTACCGATCCATTTCTTTCACACAAGCATATTGTGTTGAGGTTCATGAAGTGTCTGGTAAGCTCTTTTAATCTCCGTCTTTGAAATCTACCTTCTATGAATTTCATGTTAATTTTTATCTTCTTTTATTGATAACCTCGTTATAGATTACGAGTTTGTTAGAATATAGAAGGGAAACAAAGCCCTAGGAAACTTAGGAGTTGGAAATCATGGATTAAAACGAATCCCATGGCGGTGGAGATGCGAATGAGCAATTCCATCAGAACAAAGCTATTTCTGTGGTCGTCGATGAGGGTTTTCTAGGGGAAGATGATGATGATTACGAAGATCTTTATAACGGTGTTAATTTGTGTTTATGTCTCACCACAAGTCCTACAAACATGATACATTTATGTATTATGTTATTTCAGTAGCGTCAACTCAAATCCAATCAAAGTCTTCAATTTCATCATCTGAAATCATTTCTTTCATTAGACTTTTATTAGACTTTTACTACAATCTCCGTAGACGATAACCAATATTATACCACTTTATTATTTGGAAAAAACAATATTGAGACTAATTGTATATTTGTTTTCGGTCCCGATTGCTAAGTTTGTGGGTGTGTAAAAGCTCCTACAAGACCTCCCACACAATATTAAAAAATAAACGAATATTTATTTTATAATTTCTTCCACCATAGTACTTAAATGATGTACTATCATTTTTTTGTTAGTACAAGATTAATAGTCACTAAAACACTATATTAATAGGGACCTTGTTAAAATATTTGTATCAACTGAAAATGATATTATGATAATGGAAATGGATATATGTACATTAACTCAAATGATATGAAAGAAACATATATTAGAGAAATGAATATGTCAAACTAGTGGATTATTTAGGTGATTGAATCATATTTTGTTTGCCTAAGGATTTCATTTTCCACGTAAGATTTTATTTTTTGCACAAAACCAATTCTTACGCATTATGTATAAGCCTTTTATATAACGATTGGCTAAAAAGTGAATTGAATTAGAAAATGACTAAAAAGTGAAACCGTATATCAACTTTGGTTATTTATGTAAATTTCGCTTCTATAGAGAACAAAATAATATTTTATTATAATTTAATCAATAAAAGGCCTTAAAATTAAATATTTACAAGAGATTATTTGAGGTGGAATTTTAAATATAAACATTATAATTTGTACAAATAATACAAATCAATCCCAGCTATTCATCTAACTTATTGAATATTTGGTTTAATGAATATCTCGGTTGTTTTCTAATGAACAAATTGCATGAAAAAGTAACGTACTTTAACTTGATTCCTATTTTGGGTAACATACTTTCAAAACTTCTATTTTGATATCTAAGATGTTAAGTTTTAAACATTTAAGTACTCGGGTAACCGGTTGAAGCATTAACCAGTTATTATGTTGATATGGCGAGTGATGTGGTATCCAACTTAATATTATTTGCTGACGTGGTTAGTGACATAGATTTTTTTAATCTATAAATTAGTCGTTTTTTAATCTAAAATTAGTCTTCAACAGGTTACCCGAGTACTTAAATGTTTAAAACTTTACATATTATATACCAAAATAAAAGTTTTGAAGGTACGTTACCCAAAATAGGACTTAAGTTAAAGTACATTACTTTTTCATGTAATTTACTCTTTTTTCTAATATAAAACATTGATCATGATAAATGAACTTTGATATTATTATACATATTATAACAAATGAACTCTCATCATTTATATAAATATCACGATTAATTGGTTTTGTATGTTTTATATTAATGTTTTGGTAGGTTGGGTTCACGTGAGATAAGGTTGTTTTCATGAAACATGAATTTTATAGTTGAAACTTTATAACAAAATGTCGAATCTTCACAACAAAAACACTGTAAAAGTTATTGTGTTTTGTTGGAGAGTCTTCTAATACAATTTAAAAGTTACATCCTAAGGGGTGTTTGGGAGAAGATATACCGTGGTTTTTTATTATCATTTGTGGAGTAATCAAAGGTCTGAGAGATTGTAGTCTGCTTGCAGAAACAAATCATAATCAATTACACTCCGCCGTCAGCCGTCGCAATGCCGTCACATCGGAAACCCACTAACTTCTACACCGCCATCCTCTCCGGCAGCGTCAACAAAACCAGCCTCGTGAGTTTCTTTCCTTTTTCACTCTCTTCAAAACTTCCACCATTTTTCTCCTCATTACCTTTCTTATGAACAGAGAATCCCCAATCGGTTTATTAGAGGTCACCGGAAGCAGATTCTCTTAAATGACGTCATCCTCATTGTCTCCGATGACAAGGTTTGGCAGTTGGGCTGGATGATCTCCGGCGACGGCAAACTCTGGGTCCAGAAAGGTTGGCCGGAATTCGCTAATCATTACCGAATTGGGTATGGACATTTATTGCTCTTCAAACATATGGGCAAATCGATGTTCCACGTTACCATATTCGATTCAAGCAACTGTGAAATCAATTACCCACCACCACCCTCAAAATGCCCCAAATTGCAAAAAGGGATTGATCAATCCGTGACTCAAGATGATCAAATCGGAGGCAAGATTCTATTTTTTTACTAACCCACCTCAATTCGATCAACCTTTTTTGAAATTTATCTATTTCGTTTTGGATTAGTTGACACTGATTCAGGATCGGAGACGGGGGAAGAACAGAGGTCTAGAAGCAGATACTGATCAATGGAATCAGCTAAATCTTTCAAATCAGAGTACCCTTTCTTCTTGATCGTAATCAGACCTTCATATACTCGAAATTGGGGATTGGTAATCTCTCGATTTGGGATCTTGATATCTATTTACTTTGATCATTTCAATTATTTGTGTTGTTTGTCACAGTGTGTGCCACTGTATTTCTTCAGAAGATATTTGATCTGTGATAAGGATCGTGTGAACTGTGTTCTTCAGATGTCTAATGGTGATAACTTGCTGAAACTACTATACGTATGGTAAACTTTATGGTGATAACTTGCAGAAATTTCGTGACGATAATCATGTGGGTGTGGGGGATGTTTGTGTGTTTCAGTTGATCGATGAGATTGAATGTGTGCTTAAAGTTACCATATTTAGGGCTTCAAGAAATATGATTCAAGAAACAGGATGTAGATCTTATTCTGTTGTGGATACATAATCTGGTCTGTTCATAGAAACATAGGTGGTAAACTGCATTTCGACCTAGGGTCGTCGCTTAGTATGTTAAATGCTAGATTTTTAACAGGGCCCTTGAAATATCTACATGTGTTTCAGGGTTTTTTTTTATCTATATGTGTAAAAGTATAGCTGGAATTATTTATGTTCAAACCATTAATTGTTTGGTTTTAAATTCAAATCATTAATGGTTTATGTTTAACTTCAACTGTTAATCGTTTTAGATTTACTCCATTTTTGTTCTTAACATGTATTCTCTGTCATCTCATTTATGCAATGTAATCAAAAGTTTTCGATGTAATAGAGCCTCCAAAAATGTTGGAATGTCCTTGTTTCGGCTGTACCTGAAATTCAATTTTGTTGGAAAAAGCTCGCTGCCAAAAAGATTGGAGAACAAACGTTGTATACGTGCGATTGGAGTCGAAGCAATTTTTGGAGTTAATGGCAGGCATCAATTTGTTGTTTATTTAGGGTTGGAGATGATCAAACGATTGTAATTGACGGATTTAGTCGGAAATTACGCAAAGACTTGTGTAATCCATTTTTTGGATTAACATATTGAGAAGAAAATGACATTGGGCAAGTTATACTACTTGCGAAATGCCCACGTGGATCTTTTATATTCACTTACACAACTTACGTAATGTCTCTTGTTCTCATTTTCTTAATCTGAAAAGTGGATTAAGCAAGTTGTATAATTTCTGACTGAATCCGTCAAAGGGGTTCAAAAGGAACCATACAGTGAATAAGAGGGGTTTGATTGGCTATTTATTTCGTTAGGCGTATTTTATGTAGGTGAGTGTGGAAAAAAAAAGGCAAGAAACGAAAGGTATGTGAGTGAAAAGGGGATATGAAATAATAACACCGTTTTTCATAGACGGTGTTTGGGATTGTTCATAAAAACAACTTATTGACTTATTTCGGTGTGACACTGGTGATAAATACTTTTGAGGGTTTGGATAAACAACTTATACCGGTGTCAAACCGATAATTAGGAGTTTTTGAAGAAGTTAAACGCTTCTGACTTGTAATAAGTTGATAAGTTTTTTTGTAGAAAGACATAAGTTGTACATCAGTTAGGAGTGAACTTGGTACGATACCAAGTTTTTCTCTCTGATACCATATGCCAACAAATTCTAATTGGTACGTAAAATCTTATAGTGTATTCCAATCAACTGTGTTTTGTACCAACTTTTTTTGGTGGGTAAATGTTGGTACTGGTTTTGTGTCAACGTCAAGTTACATATATTAAAACTTAATTAAGTGATATTTTGAGTTCTAAAATACCACACATGATGTTTAAGAGTTCTTAACCGGAAGAAAAAAAAAACTTTCAAATATTCAAACAAAATAGTTAAAGTTATTAAATAAGTTGGTACCATGATATTACAGTGCACGACTTTCAATAACATGTATCAACCAAGTTTGCGCTATTGGTGCGGTATCACCAACCTATTAAAATTGGTATCAATTTAATTGTCACCCTAGAGAGAGACTGATAGAGACCGATACGAGATGGTCAATCTACAAGAAGACGAGTAGCGAAAAGGTATTTTTGGTACAATTTTGTCATTATCGTTGTTAACAAGGAATTACAGCATTTATAATAAAGGAATCAACTACTACTAGAGTTAGTAGGTGCGTCAAGGCAATATCTCATCCTAAGCCTAAGGATAAGGAACCATGAACCACGCATACACATTAAAACTTCCTAAGCAAGAAAATTAATTAAAAGAATATTCTTTTTTATTTATTCAAAGCAGTAAATGAGTCCGAGTTTGTATCAGTGCCCGCCACTCAAACAAAAGCCTTAGCCACCTCTACAAACCACCACTACCACTGTTGGCCACCTCTAGCTCCTCCTCTACTGCAAGAACCTCCTCCACAACCACCGTCGACCATCGATCACCACCGCACATTGCCACCTCACTTCCACCACCACTATCTTCATTACATCAGCCACAACTCCCTCCTCCACCGTTCTCAACTGCCACCACCACCACAATCCACCATATCCACGTCCTCTATAACCACCGTCGTCCACCAACCACCACTCTTCTACCTCCATAACCAATGTCGGCCACCGACAACCACTGTCGGCCACCGACCACTACCGCCTATCGCCACTACTACCGTCAGCCACCGTCACCTCAACCATAACCAAAACCACTTCCACCACCACCACCGCCATTACCATCAATTATATCAAAATTTTCATTCAAATTTGATACTATTATATATGTATGTATATATTTATATGAAATTGTGTAAAAATATTTATAAATTAATTTTTTTTAATAATTTACTTTATTTGTGTTAATTGTAACTATTTTATAATATTTAAAATCATCAAACAATGTTTAGGGGTAACTTATTTAATTTTTATCATATACTGGTTCTGTAGAGTCCAGTACCGTCCCTTCAATATTTTTCATGTCTAGAAAATCAATTCAGTGTACGCACCAAACTCTAGCTTAATCACAAACTTAATTCACTCGGCTCACACAACCCAACGTCTTTCTTTCATTCTTATTTCTTTTCTTGGGTTCTTTCCAAGAAAACCAATATCACCGAAAATAGGCAGGATCCTATAAACCCTAAACCCTAATCTTTTGGATCAAGAAAAGTAATGGGAAAACGAGGAAGAGGTCGCCCTTCAAAGGTTTCGTCAATCTTCAATCAAGATCCTGAATTCTTCGAAATCTTCCTCCCAAATCGCATCTCACACCAACTGGTATCCTTTCTTCTTCATTGCTCTCTAATCTTAATTAGGAACTTCTATAATCACCAGCATTCTTTAATTTGCGAACATCAAAAGGAATTGTTCGTATTCTGATCTGGGTTTGTCGAAATCAGTCCAGATAATTAATCTTCATTCGTTGATCTGGGTTTGTTGAATTTGTTATTGTTTGAAATCAAAATGAATCAAAAGATCGACTGCGATTCAGTATTCTGATTTGGGTTTGTTGAAATCGATCCAGTTAACGAACCCTTTCGACTTCTTTTTAGAATTCTGATATGGGTTTGTTGAAATCAGTCGAGTTAATGATTCTTTATTCGTTAATCAAGAAAAATATGCTTCCCCTTTCAAGAAAGATCACATTTGACTTTCTGAGTCCAATTTCTTACTGTATGAAGTCGAACTTTTGATAAAGTTCGACTTCATTTTAGAATTTTGTTCTGGGTTTGTCGAAATCAGTCCAATACCTTGAAAGGGGAAGTATCTTTTTCTTGATTAACGAATCATTGTTCGTTAACGAAGTATCTTTCAAGGTTTGTTGAAATCGGTTAACGGATCATTATTCGTTAATCAAGAAAAAGTACTTCTCCGTTTAAGAAAGATCACATTTGACTTTTCCAAGTCCAATTTCTTACCGTTTGTAGTCAAACTTTATCAAAAGTTCTACATGTTTCTAGTATTCTGATATGGGTTTGTTGAGATCAGTACGGTTGATGAATCTTTATTCGTTAATGTTGGAGTGTGCAGCGGATACCACCAGATTTCATCAAACACTTCGATAAGAAAATACCAGGAGCAGTCATACTTAAAGATCTCGCGGGACGAATCTGGCACGTGGATATAAAGCAAACTGAAACTGGCGTTTTTCTGAAGAATGGTTGGATGAGATTCGTGAACGAAAAGAGACTAGAGCTCGGTCAAGTTATGGTTTTTAGATATGACACAAGTTCAACATCTTTCACTGTTAGAATCTTTGGCAGAAATGCAATCAAGGATGAAGATCAAGATTCCAAGAAACCCTTCAATTCTGTGAAAAAAGAACAAGAATCTGTTGCAGATCCAATCCCAATTCGCAAATCCAAAAGAAACCGAAGAAAACCACAAAAGTATGCTTAAAGTTCGTCTAATAAAGAAACGGATATCTATTTAGAATGAACTCAATCTTGCATTACCATTAAGAAACAGATATGTGCTACATTCATGTCAACTAAATTTCAATGATCTGCTTGTATATATACATTAGTAATAGAGGTTATACATCTTACCTTCTGTTGGACCGTGGGATATACTGGTTCGTTTGGTTTTTATCAAGGAGAGTAGGAACTTGCCTCTGTGCTGTAGATTGAGTATTCACCAAAACTGAAGTTGGGTTTCTCTTCATCCCACTTCAATATCTCCTTTGCATACTTCAGGGTTCCGTCCACGCCATCGGGCTCCAAACTGTTCACCACGGAAACAAACAGTTTCCGACCGGTGAGCGACGAAAACAACCGCTTGAACTTCACCGCAACATAATGTGAAGCCATTTTTCCGATGGAAGGAATGTGGTTAATGTTGTTGCTACTGATGTTCTTGTTGCGGCTGGTTCGGCTGACTACAGGACGGAAGTCATTGAACCAGTCGCAACAAGTTAGAGGGACCCGTTCGAGTTTTTCGTCAAAGATGTCGAATTTGTTTAGAACTAAAAGGAAGTCGATTTGATCGTAGGTTGGGTGTGTCACGATGGTCTCGAAAAGTTTCCGGCTTTGCAGCATCTTGTTAACGGTATTTCCGTCTGGATCGGTGGTGTATTGGTCGTAATCGCTCAAGGAAACGCAGAAGATGACAAGTTGAACATCTTCAAACATCTCCAGCCATTTGCAATTTTCTCCAAAGCCTCTTTCTGGCATTCTAATTAGTTGGAACCTGGATGAATGATGCATGAAAACATGGGTGATGTTAAGAGTAAGCACAAAAATCATGAGAAGCATGTGACGATCTTTTCCCGTTTGTTTTTGTCTTCAGCCATGTTTGGCAAACTAGCTTATAAGCTAACTGTTGGTGTTAAGCTAGTTGTTCGCAGATAAGCTAGCCATCAAGCTTAAAAACTAGCAGTTAAATGAAAAACTAGTTGTTAGAAATCAATCATGTTTGGCTAATAAGCTAGCTAAGAAACTAGCTGATATGACAAGCTAACTTTTGGCTGTTAACTCAGAAACTAGTCATGTTTGGTAAAACTAGGTAACAAGTAACATGACAATATAAAATGACTTAAAATGACATGTTGAAAAATCAATTGGAGAAATCTAAGGGGTAAATGCATTCATTGAAACTTTTTGTTGTTTGAAGCAGTTTTCCAAAAGGCTAGATTATGGTTAATGAAACGGGGCTTTTTCAATAAGTTCAAAACATAAACTAGCTTATAAGTCAACTTATGATTGCCAAATATGGCCTTAGAAGATATTAGAAAGATGGATCAAATGTCTTTGGGTACCTGAGGGGAGAATCAAGTTGATCGTTATCATCATCAGCTGATGGTTGAGGAAACGAGAAGTCTACACACGAAAGGCCGTTAGATGAAGTAACATGATCAGCATACAAGATGTCCATATCTGAAGGTATATAGTCTCTGCTCAGAATGTTGATAGCCTGAAAAGAAGGAACATAACACTTTACACAATCTTCCCGAAAATACCCTCTTTGAATTTACTTTATATGAACAATAATTTACATTTCTAGACAACAGATAGGGGTTGTTTAGTATTTTTCAAATAAAACTTCAATGGTTAAGTTGCCTTTCTGGATAAAATTCGGTTTATGGGACGGAGGACTGATGGGTTTGAGGGAGGCAAAGAGAGAGGGTTGGATTATTTCTGGGGCAATTCTGGTATTAGTTTGTTTGAGGTGGCTTAATGGGGACAAGGGAGATCCCCTGGCTTATTCCATATGCCATTTTGGCTTAATGGCTTAACAATTAATCCATAATGAATCACTCTTGTATGGCTAAGCTAGGACCGTATAATTAGACTTGGCTTTATGGAATCAAACAATTATATGTCTTATATAAAGATGTCCCAATAAGATGCTAGAACGCATCCCAACAAGTTTTTTAGGACGCTTTTAAAAATAAAGTATTTTATTAGTTTTACATGACATTTTTTAGAATCACCCTATGCACATCTTTTTATAGGATATCCGTTCTTATAAATCACTTTTTCAAATGATGTCATAGAAAAATGAACACGACATTTTATTTCAAGTGTCCTAAAAAGCTTGTTCAGACCCCCATAGGCGGCCTGTCAACTTATTGTAACACCTCAGACAATTGTTTGGTCTTATAAAGTAGTCTATTAACACATTTAGACATATTTGGCGTAGCATAAAGTTGATTTGTTGCAGTAAGTTCTTTTGTTACCTGTTCTAAGAAATAACCAGAAATACTGGGGAGCATCTCCAATTTGTTTCGTCTCTTGTATGTGGCTTGCACCGCCGGATGATTCCACAACTCCTCAACTACTGGTGCATATTCACGACTGGCTACCGGGAAAACCGCTTCCATGTTACCTGCCACCATGGTTTTGAGAAGCCAATCGGAGAATGCTTTCAACCTTGGGCAGATGGAATAGATTGTTTTCTCGTTATTCATATCGGAATTTCCTGTTCACAACCAGACAATATTACGACAAACTTAACAACTTCATTCACTCATTAGCCCGTTCAAGATTTTCGTTAGATATATATTTTCTATCATAAACCAAACCAAAATGATTCAGTAAATCCCACTCAAAAGTATGGTCAGGGATGGTACGTAAGCAGACCCGACCTCTACCCCCAAAGAATAGAGTAGACTAGAGATGCACAAAAAAGCCCAGGCTAGGCCTTAAAGCCCAATCAAGCCTACATTTTTTTTAAAGCCCGGTCAAGTGCAGGCCTTAAAAGCCTGGCTCAAAAAAAGCCTGATCAGGCCTGGAAAAGCCCAGTCAAAAGAAGCCGAAACCGGCCTACTTTCACACCCAAAACCCAGGCCCAATATGGGCCGGAAAAAACCCCGGGCTTTTTTCTGCTTATACGAAAACGAGCTAGGTAGGCCTAGGCCCAGGCCAAAAAGAAGCCGGACCTTGTGCATCTCTAGAGTAGATATGTAAAAAAAGGCCCAAAACCGAAGCCCGGCCTGAAAAAGCCCGAGCCGAGGGCTAGGCCCAACCATAAAGCACAATCAAGCCAACTTCTTTTCAAGGCCCCGTTAAACCCAGCCTGAAAAAGTCTGGTCAGGCCCTCTTTCAACCCCAAAGCCCAGCCCATCCCGGCCATGAAGAAGCCTAGGCTTGCTTTTGCTTACTGAAAAACGGGCTTGGAAGGCCCTGACCAGGCCCGAAAAAGTCCGGGCCTTGTGCATCTCTCAAGTAGAGTTTGGGGTAGAGCAGTTGTTTCCGTGAATACCCCCCAACTTATGCAAGCTTGTGAGCAAAATTAGCATAATAAGAAATATTTTTTATCATACTTTATAGAATATGTAAAAGCCCGTACCAGTGGAAATAGAACCATCACAAGATCGAGTTTTCCTATTTTCATTCAACGCTTCATCTTCAAAACGTTCACGACCTTCAAGGAGTATACCAAGATATCCATACACGTTGCTTTGGATTATTATCTTGATATTTTCACGTTCTTGCTCTGTGAACGGGATTTCTTTATATAGGATTTTTGCCTGAAACAAAAATGCTATCATTATGAATAAAGTTATCTTCATACTTTATGATTAGAAAAGACCAGTCTCAAAGATTACATATGTAGAAGATCATCAATAGCAACCTGACTCCCAAATCTAATATATATTCTCCATCCCAAAATAAATGTCCACAATGAAAAACGCACACAGTTTTCGATATATGTAATTATTACACTTTTCAATTAACTAAATGACAATTTTATCCTTAATAATGAAGGGATTAGTGCATTTCTCTGTCTCATAATTAAGGGTAGAATTGGAAATAGACACTTATTTTCAGACAAACTAAAATAGAAATTTGGACATACTTTTTGGGAGGGAAGGAGTAAATGAGTAATTGCTAAAAAGTAGATGAACTTGTTGTCCATTGAACCAAACCAAACCAAACCACACCAAACGAGCCCAGTACCCACCTTGGAGGTGGGATGTGGGGGTAAGATGTTTACACAGACCTGATCCCTATTCCGAATAGTAAAGCAGAGGGAAGAGGAAATAATGTCAAGATTACTCGATCAAAGATGAAATCACCTGCTTAAATATGGTACTTGTTCCAGATCCACTACATCCGATTAAAAGAATTTTATGCGGTACATCCTGATCAAAATAGTCCGGCACTGTTTGACTAAGCACGTTGCTTGCTTGTTCGCTGGGATAAGCGGATTTGGGTGGAACCGGAAGCGATAAAAAGGCACAAACCAGCTTCGTTCCAGCCTGAAAAGTAACTCTTATGCTCAAGGAAACATTCAAAGCGGACAAAACAAACCAAACCAAACGAACCCATAATATCCGACAAAAAGGTAGGGTCAAAGGTACGTTGTACGCACACCATGCCTCCACCCTCAATGAGCAGAGAGGTTGTTTCCGTCAAGACCACCGACAAAATACAAAAACACACCAAAGGGTCATTCACCCAGCCTCCCATGAGGTCAACAGTTCAAACAGGAGTGTGTGCGAGTATTTTCCATATATAACTATATTTTGTACTTCATATATATATATATATATATATATATATACACACACACACAAAAAAGAACACCTTAATAGAATATTCACCTTCCCCCAAATGTATCCTCTCGTCTTTTTCTGACCCTCTTCTTGATATGAACCATCCTCATTCACCCAAAAGTGCGGGTTACCAGCACACTGGACTCCAGACAACTGCATTTCATGACATAATCGAATTTAGCATACTTGGTGGAACCTGTAGCTACCAAAAGTTGAGAAATATGAACCTGTAGCATTCGCAGCTCGACTTTCGTAATTTCACGACCGTTTATGAAAACTCCAGTGTTTCCGTTGCTGGCATCGGGCATAATCGGGCCACCAGCATTTAAATGGGGACTAATAATCTGGCAAGGCTTCTCCCCCTCCTGTTTAGATCATAGAATCAAAAGAACCATCAAATTACATGTAAGAATGACGTAAGGCCTGTTTGTTAGCAGCTTAATGAGCTTAATGAGACTCGCAACTTATTCGGTCAGCTATATATGACTGTTTGGTAGTGGCTTAATGATATAAAAAGTGGCTTATTCAGTGAGCTTTTAGAAGGGAGCTTTATGCAGAAAGCCAAGTTTTTTTCCAAACCTGCCCCTCCCTATTTAAAAACCAACTCATTCCATCTATAGAAAAAAAAACCTCCCAACCAAAAACCTTCCCAATCTATACAGATTAATCCACACAGACAACTTTATTCATACAGGACTTAATGGAAGATCAACCAAACAACGCCGTAGTAACCATGTTAAGGCCATGTTTGGCAAACTAGTTGATAAGCTAGTTGTTGGCTGATAAGCTAGTCATGTTAGAAAAAACTAGCAAATAAAGATTAATTAGAAAAATACAAGGGGCATAATTGGAAAAAAGTGGAAAAAAGCCTTGAAGCTTATTGAATTAGCTTTTCAAATGTAACTTATGGTTAGCCAAAAGAGACTTTTTCAATACTCTCAAAGAAACATAAGTTGGCTTATGGTTAACCGAACAGGACTTTTTCAATAAGTACAAAAAATAAACTAGCTTATAGCCAACCAAACGGGACTTTTTCAATAAGCTCAAAAAATAAACTAGCTTATGCTTAACCAAACTGGCTTTTTCAATAAGCCCAAAAATTACCCTTCTTGTGGTTCCCAAACATGATGTAAGTGTGTAAATGATAGAATCAATACCTTTCCCCAAAGACCAGAAACTTTATCATACCAATAACTGCCCGGTTTAAGCTTCTTTGGAGGATTCGGACAGTTTTGCAATACAGCCAGCTCCTCGTGAGAAAGAGGCTTTCCGTTCACACAAACATACTCAGATGGAAGTTGATTTACAGCACATAGTTTCTCGGCCTTCATTATCTGACTAACTTCCAAACTATTAAGCAACCGTTTGAGCATCCGAGAGCATTTCCCCAAATTACCCCTCTTTGACTCATCAATCGAAAATCCAATACAAGAAACACATTTTCTTCCTTCTGGCATCGATCCCATTGCTCTAAGAACACAATTAGTACAATATTTCGCATTACAAACCATGCAAACCTCCTTTTCTGTGAACCTATTTCCTTTCTTACATCTATAACAAACCCCTTTTCTTGTTTTCACCTTCGATTCTTCTTTTAACTGAGTTTCGGTTTGAACAACATCCTCAAGGAAGTCCTCATCTTCATCCTCAGATTCAATATCACGAAAAGTAACAACCGGGTTTCTTTGATCAGAAAAAGATTCATCTTTAGCGGAAGATACCCGCGAAGATGGATAATCAAAACTCAATCCAGAAGCGATTGATTCACTGAAATCCAAACTCTCCTTACAATCATTCACATGTGAATTTGCGGACATATTTCTTGAGTTCTCAAAGCTACCGGATAACTCATACGAATGATCTTGACTCACTGATGAAGATCCAATTGAGCTATTAATAACATCTGAAAACTCACCTGAACTAATAAACACAGAATCTTGGCTCTCCATGGTGGTTAAAATTTCATTATTATTGTGAATATTTTCATCATTCACGGGTGAAATCAAAGAAGTGGGATAAACAATAGGTTCGGTAGTACCTAATTTGCAGAAGTTGGTAGTGAAATCGGATGCAAGAATGGGTTGTACAACAGGCATAGAAAGTTTATCATAATCATGAATATTATCAGACAAAATTGATTGGGGAACAAAGGCGGCAACCGGAATCTTATAAACATTGATCGGAACAGCTCGTGGAAGATGACGGTGAGATATTGGAGGACCTTCGTATTCTAAAGCAAAAGAGTAAGGCACACCTCCATCATCGATAACCATGGAGGGACCTTCCACAGCCATTGTTAACCAAATCCCTAATAACAAGCTATATCACAACACACATGAATTCAAACCCTTTTCTTAAAAGAGAAAACTGAGAAAAAGAGTTCAAATTTGAACCATACCCGACGACGGCGGTGGTGGTGGCGGTGGCGGTGGCGGTGGAAGGTAGCAGATGAATTAAAGGTGAAAAGGGTTGAGTCAGGCGATTTGGATGAAGGGTTTTCAGCTGCTGGAATGGGGAGATTGAAAATGGATTTGGGAAAGTAGGAGAGATGGAAAAAAGCCAAAAAGAATCAGCAAGTGAGGGCAGTGGATTGGAGTGGGGGCATCATTCTTGTTTGAGTTGGATTGAAAGTTAAAAAAAAGACAACTTTAACTTGTCAAAATTCAAAGATGAATGGAGATGAAATGACAGAATTTGTCGTTTTACATCGTGATTGGAATCAAAATAACAACTTTTTTCAGAGTTTTTAACGAAATTTGGATGGGTGTTACAGAATCATGGTAAAAAGTGTCTGCGTTTATGATTGGTTTAATAAGTTGTTTGTGTAGATTAATTTGTTTGTATTGATTAGAAATTTATTTTGTTTTAAAGGGAAATTTTGTAGACGAAAGGAGATGTTTTTAAATGGGAGGGTATATTTGGAAAAAAATTGTTTTCTGGATAAAGCTCTACCTATAAGCTTATTGAATAAATTATTTTTTATATTATAAAGTTACTACCAAACAGTCATATATAACGGACTAAATAAGTTGTGAGTCCCGTTAAGTTGTTAACATACAGATCATAAATACAACTTTATATATTAATTTCATCATGAAGCACATCAACATCAAAACTTATTTTTTACATGCATGATTTGACCTAATTATGACATAAAATGAGGTGCATAATTGCTATAGCATTATCGATAAAAAAAATTCAGTTGACGTAACAAATTATTAATTCTTTTTGTTTTATGAAAATATGTGTTCTTCCTACGTTGGTTCAGTAGTACTCTAACATGTCCATTCCAATGGAGGCTAGATGGACAAATATGTCTCACACTGTCGAGTGACGGTTTGGTGGGTAAAAAATGTCTCATATTGTATACTTTGTCTCTAATACTACGTGAAACCTCATTAAATTACTTTCTAAAAGAACTCTTAATATTAAAAGTGAGGTTTCAACATATATAAAGAATAATTGATTTAAGTCTACATGATGTGAGACTCTAAGAATCTTACATGATAAACGAGTTTTCATGGATTTTGGTGTAATATTTTTCCATGTAACCAAGAATTACAATATAAGTTGACAACTTGGTATTTACGTCATCAATAATTACAAAAATTTCACATACTGACCAAAACAGGTATGAAATAAACAAAATTGCAGGTTTGTTACAGTAAATGAGAATAAAAAAATTATCATTAAGTTAAATTTTATAATTAAAGCAGATTTTATTGCGGTCTTGAAACGTTTTGTCATCTTTCATTCAATTTTATTGATCCCGTCAACAGTAACATTTAAGGAAGAATTTGGTCTCTTCTATGACTTTTCTATGATTTCCAAAATGGGAATGGGTACTACCTCCCACATAAAAATGCAAGGAAAATGGTTGATTGAGACATGAAATCTGGACGACTAAGGGGCCGTTTATCAAACACTTACCCGATAAGCACTTGTCGGTAAAATTTAACATTATCACTTACTTACGGGGTAAGACTTTAATCCACCAATACGACATCGTATGCAACAATTTACCCGGTAAGCGCTTACCATAGTAAGAGTCGTCGCCCTCACTTACTAGGTAAGACTCTCGGTTCTTGTCTCCCTCTTACCAGGTAAGATTTTTGGCCTTTACATTATTCATCCGATAATGTAATGTGACTTGATAAGCGCTTACACGGGTAAACGTTTGGTAAACGGCCTCTAAATGTACATTTTCGAATTCTTTATATCATGACATTTCATGAATCATGTACGACATTTCAAATATATAGATGGTGAATAGGTGGTGTGGTTATTACTGGTTTTGTATGTATGTTCAATACTGGTTTTCAATCCAATCTATTACAAGTTTCATCACTGATATGTGGTTTAAAACAACTTTTTAGTTGTTAATATTTTGTGATGGTCGGACTCGAGATAATGAATAGTTGTCATTTAGGAAATGCGACTTGGATCTTGAGCAGTTGGAATGAATGACATCAAATATGTTAGATGGTGTAACTGTGAATCATGAACATATAAGATCACATAGTAGGTTTATGGTTAGAGTCATGAACAAGTAAGGCTCACGATTAGTGAGGTGCAACTATGGGTCGGTCCATCAATAGTTGATGTGCTTAAATCGTAAGTGTGCACACAGTGGGCATAAAATCCCCAAAGTGGCGGTGCAAGTGCACGCCGACACTAAGATCGCTTCAAGTAATAAAGTGGTATAGTACCAAGATCGTTTCCACAGGGACCGGACTTACTGAGAATCAGAGACTTTCATGAGCTTCTTGAACAATGTTTCGGGTTGAGAAAATATTTGAGTTTTGATTGGTGCAAAGCTTTAAAATATGAAATAAACCTTTAATATTAAAAGMTGRGKATGGGTGTAAGCTTTGCTTAAGAATAAAGCAGGAACGACTTGGTTAGAAACCCATGGGATTTCTATAAGAACTCATTTCTCTCGAAAGTGAATTCTTATATA